ACTGCACCAACCCATGAAGAAGATGATGAACAACGATGAGGATCTCAGCTTGGTGCTGACCACTTCGTTTCTTTTTATTAAGCATAGGCGTCATCCTACTCCTGTTAGAGGCTTGTTCGAGATACCGTTGATCATTGAACGTGGACACTTCTTCTCCTAGTAAGAATTTGTATTTTAGTTCGCTATATTGTGAAAGACTACTTTTTGTTGGACTCACATGCTGATCACTTTCTGCAGATGGAAGACAATGCTATAACTTTCATTTACTAATTAAATCAAGACTCTGCAAATTTCTAAAAATTTCAAAAAGCTAAAGCATGAAAATGATGCACAAGGAACATCTGTGTGCTATTTGTATTTGTAATTAAGCTGTGAATAGTGTGACTCATTCAAACTTTGTGCGAAATACGAGACATATATTAGTTTAAACAGTAAGAAGAGAAGAGAAGAAAGATGGTACCATTTGGGATTGTTATGTTTTCGTTTGGCTTAGATTCCAACTCTTTTGTGAGTTCAGCGTGAGCATTTTTCACAATGTAGAGAGGCTTCTTTCGCATTACGCTCCAAAGCTCAATGCTTCCATCATCCGATCCAGACAAGAACTCATCATTATTCACAAAGCAACAGCATTCTACGGACGATGCCGAAGGTCTAAAAATTAATTGTGACTCTTCATGAACCTAAGAAAAGATTCATTAAACAATGTTACAGACCACCTTACATCTGAAAATTAAGGACACAAAACCCTTAAAAACGAGGGGGGGAAAAAGCTTCTTTTATGCCCATTTCTGTCTTGTCCATTTCCTCTTCAAGATAGAGGCTTCGAATCAAAGAACAAAATGAGAAATTTGAATACATAGTGTTTGAAGTGGGAAAACAATGTGTGCGTTATATAATATACGAGGTTAATTACCTTAAACAACCGCATGGTACGATCACGTCCAGCTGTTAGTGTCCTTTCTTTTCGTAAGCAATCAATGGTTAGTACTTCACTTTGGTGGCCAAGCAACCCATCCATAAAAGTTCTGTCTTCACATTCCATATCTTAACTGTTCGATCAAGTGAACCGGAAAAAAGTTCTGAAGTTCCTTGCCTAAAAGTTAGACATGAAACGGCCCCTTTATGGCCTGAAAAAGCCTGTAAAATTTGACACAAAATTGAGAGCTATAAGCACAGAAATTAACGATATACATGCATGGTACAGTTAAAGGGAAAGGCTAGAATGCCTCATCAGACTAAAGGGTCTCTAAAATAATAGTGGATGTCCTAGGGAAGCAAGGAGCTAATTAGTTAATATAGGAATTTTGTTAAAAATGTCCATATAAAATTCATGATCTATCGTCTAAGGCTTTTGGTTGAAAAATAGGAATCATTTTAAAGGTTAGAATAGGATATGTTTACTTGAAAGCTTACATTGCCAAACATGCAGCAAATTGTTATAAGTTCTAGGAGAAAGCTCATTCCAAAAAACTAATTAATATAGGAAGGAGAGCTTCTTAAACTTATAAACATTATTTTTCTTATGAAGCTGTTTAACGTGGGACTCGTAACAATGATTCCTCGATATTTGAGAGTTGAGGTTAATCCTCTCCATGATATCGACCTCTCAATGAATGCACAAATAATATTATCAGTACAAGTCTAAAAGAAAAGGCCCATTCAAAAGACTATTCTACTAAGAAGAAGAGTTCCTTGAAGCTATAGATTTTCCAATTATGGGATTCATAACACAAATTACAAATTAGAAATTTTCCTTGGTGTTAAGACCATATAAACAATAAATAAATTCTTCCATAGAAGAAAGAGCTACTGAATCTCCAACTGTAAACGATTTACCAGCTGGCTAGCTTGCTTATCGTTTATGCTTAAACCTAGAAATGCACGGAGACAATGATCACATTATAATCTAGAAAGATCAAAGTAATACCTGAACATGCTCTCTTGTGCGAGTATCCCACAGATGAACATGGCGGTCGAGGCCTCCGGTGGCCACATACCGGCCATCGGAGCTCACGGCCAATGCTAATACTTGTTTACTATCCCTTCCAGCCCGACCTTGTGGTTGTTTCATCCCATGAGACCTCAATGCTTCATCACTAGGCCATTTGTACTTTTCACTTTTCCCACTATTTACATCCCACTGCACGATAATCCCATCCTTTGAACCTGAAAATCCCTTCATGTCATCCTCTGATAAGGCCACAGCAGTAACAGAGGTGTTTCACTAACAGGTGAAATTCTCCACTTGTTCCTTCTTTTTTCACCCTATATTAAATTTATCATATATTATAAGTAACACACTATTATGATAATATAAGGGCTATTTAATTAGTTTGAGTAGATTAAAAAAGTTAAATAAATTGCTTACTTCTAACGAATGTAACATAATTTCTCTAAAATACTTACATATAACATTGGATTAAATATTAGTTTATAAGTCAGATAAATTAGTATAAAACAGATTAACCTGTTCTACCTAATCAAAATGAACTCCTAATCAGCTTTTACATTCCAAGTCCCTAGGTTAATGCAATTGCAAACACAAAATAAAGTCGATAAAAAAGGGAAGAGTTACAGATAAGTCAAATTAATTATTTAATTACTGATAACTCCCTAAACTTGACATGCTATTATTAATGGTTGAACTTCTAATAAATTTTCAAATTTGACTAGTCAATGTCGCGTATCGCAAGAGGATTCCTAATAAATTCTGGGTTAGAATTATTACAAGTCCTCTTGCGATGGTTATGAGGTAAAATTAAAAATTTAAGATTTATATTATGTCTTTCCGCAAGTTTTCAGAAATCTTATTAGTATTTAGTCAAACTGAGCAAACTTATCAGTAATTAATTTCTTTTATTGGACTTACCGGAAATTTATTTCCTTAAAAAAGTTGCAGAAATCGATATATAATTAACGACTTCAATCCTGAACAAGAAAGAATATTTCTGCAGCGTTACCTGGATGCAAATGCTCTCCGAACCCGACCGCTCTCTTCTTGATGTTCCTGGATCAACTTCTGGGCTATGAGTGAGTCTCTTTCGACTTCCTTTTCTTCTTCTTCTCTCTCCGAGCAATATCACGAAACATTTTCAGATAATCTTCTGCAATTCTCTTCCTTGCTTCACCCTCAGTTTCTTCTCCTCCTCCTCCTCCTCCTCCTCCCATTTGATCTTCCTCTTTCCCGTCGGCGCCATCACTGCCTATAAAGAAGTCATCGCCCTCTTCGTCGCTTTCTATCTCACTGGCATCGTCATCAACTTTCCAATGCTTTCTTGATTCGCTGCAAAACAGAGGATCATGATCGGTTGGGAAATTTCTACCTTTTCTTCCACCTTTCTTCTTAAGATTCTTTCTCCCCATAGAGGAATGCTTAGAGGTCACTCATCACTCCACGGAGAAATCGGAGAAGACAGCTAGGGTTTTAGCTCTTCGAGTTTACGAGGTTTACAGCTATGAACAGAGTGATGGAGGCGCAGCGGGAGAATAATTGTATTTTATGTAATTAATGCGAATATCTTTACAAAAAAGGAAAGACTGGGGGAAAAAAATCTGTTCTATGTCATAAGTACGTTAAGATATCGTATTGATGTAGCATATGTATTAATTGAGTAAAAGGAAATATGAATCCTATCCTCCATTTATATAGCTCAAATCAAATATTTGGTACCCCTCTGCTCTTTAATATAAAACCTATTTAATTGATTTGATTAGATTAAAGAAATTAGTTAAGTTAGTTAATTATAAGAAATATGATATGTTTTTTTTTCCTAAAACACCATAATCATCTTTCTTAATATCCTCCATCTCTTACTTACTTGATTATAGTTGAGGAGTATTCATAGGGCTAATTTAGAAAAATTGATAAATATGATAAATAGGTTTTATATTTAGGATCAAAATTAACCGAACAATTAAATCCTATATTAAGTACAAAAGAAGTAATATTTAAACTTAGTGTTTAGATATTAAATTAAACTTAAATCTAATCTAATTTTCCAATTGTCATGAGAGATATTAAGTTGAGATATTTTTCTTGTGGTAAAATAAACAAACTGATCGAAAAAATATTAATATACAAATCATTTAGTTAGTCATACGTTATGGATCATTAATTAAATGTATATCTATTAAGTCGCTAGTTCAATATATGTCAGACTCCAGATCCTTTGAAATTTAGATAACCAAAATAAATTGCAATAACTTTTTTCAATTCAAAATCTCTTTAAATGATCATAAAAATTTTATTATTATTTGAAATCATTTATTTAATAGTATTTATATTTTATTTCACCAATTTGAAATCATTCACGATTTTAATTGCATGTGGATGTAATGTATAGTTGATTTACGTTGACCATAAGAAACAGGCAGATGTGGTTCTCGGCGGACCAGAATGTTAATTAAGTCCACATATAGAAGCAAAAACATTATAAAACAAAGTTAACGCAGCATTAATTCCCTTAACCTCTGATTTGATATAGATAAATATAAAATCCAATATCAGTAGCAATTAAGAAACTCATTCTCCAATAATGTCATAACTATTTATTATTAATTATCAAAAGCAAAAGAAAAACCGGTAGCCTCACAAGCCACAACACAAATCTCCGATCCTGACATAGAAAAAAAGTAATCGAAGGCCATAACTATACCAAATAAAGTATGTATTATAGATGCTGCTGAGTGCTCAATCATATATAACTCAAGTACACACAGACACAGACACACATATTGTTCTCTTTAAAAACTCCGTTTACTAATTGTCATACAAGAAAATGCAAAGAAAAATAAAATGATAGCCTCGTACAAATAATCCTCCGGAAGTAGAAGAAAAGAAAGCGAACGAGGGCCATATAACTATAGAAATAAAGTCAAGGATATATGTTTAATTTAATATGCTGCTGAGTGCTTATTCATTATCGCTTAGTATGAACAAGAGGACGAAACATATATTGTTCAAGGGCTGGGAAATAAAGGTGAGGGAGAGGAAGATGGAATGGATGGATTAGCATTTGAAGGAGGAACATTATTATTGGGCTGAGGCAAATTTGGTATTAAAGGAAAAGTACACGCGAGTCCAGGCAAGTTTGGTGTTGAAGGCAAAATACATGGAAGTTTAGGCAAGTTTGGTGTTGGTGAAGGCAAATTACTTGGAAGTCCAGGTAAGTTTGGCGTTGAAGGCAAAGTAAAAGGAAGTTTAGGTAAGTCTGGTGTTGATGATGAAGGCAAATTACTTGGAAGTCCAGGCAAGTTTGGTATAGAAGGCACTTGGAGAAGATGACGAGCTGCTATACCTGAATTCATCATGCTTGAAAATGTGAGAGCCACGAGGAAAGTTATGACTTGCGATTTCTCAGAAGAAGAAGCCATATGGCTGGATTATATATATGAAGTTGGAAAAGTGAAGAGGAAATAAAAGAATAAGATGCTTCGGTTTCAGTATTGACGATATGATTCAAGTGATGATAGTTTGGGGTCTTATATAGATAGAATAATTAGGCAGACGATGTGTAGTTAATTACGGAGAAGCTTTTAAGGATTTATGGAGATCTACCATCTTGGATTGGTACGAAAAATATAGGGCGGGTTTGGAGCCTCTCTGATGTGCCTCCTTTTAATGCTCTCTATAATGCCTCAACCTCCTAATTCCTAAATGCCTCATATAATTTCGAATTTTTCATGATTTTTCATAGAAGAATCCTCGAATTTATGCATTTGTTATTTATTTTAGAAAACTCATATAAAGTTTAAAAATTGCACCATTTTATCAGTGTATGTAAGATATTAATATGTTACTAAGTTTATCTAAAATTTAATAATCAAAAGAAAAATGAAAAATACTTTGGAAGTTGGGGTATTTCAAAGAGAATTAATTAGAGAGTATTAGAGAGAGGCACATTAGAAGTCTTAAGCCCGACGTAAAGTTTCGCTTCATAAATAAGTAGCTGAGGGGCTGACAGATTAGTTTATGCTATTGACATGTGGAAAGTCCTACATAATACTACCTCCAATTTTTAATATAAGGCTAGTTAACATATTTGAGTAGATTAAAAAAATTAGTTAAGTTAGTTATTTATAATAAATAGGCGTTCTATTTTCTAAAATATCCTTGCTAATCACGTGTATTAGATAAAACTAAGTATTTAACATCTACAATTACTATAAGGGCTATCTTAAAAAAATGGATAAATGTGAGAGACAAAATGGATTGGAGTCTTATATTTAGAATTAAATTGAATATTAAATTAGCTATTATATTAAAGACTAATGGTAGTATATATTTAGAGGTCTTTTGTTAGGTCTGATCAATTTGTTGAATTGAAAATGCCTGTAGTGTTGTATACTTACATTTAGGTCGGTTGGTCGTTAATTAACTAGAAACTCTCAAACGTCGGATAGGTTATTCATATAGAAATGTGGTACGTTTGGAATAATAGAGTAGGTTGTATATGCTTACACATGATTATGTTAAAGTTAACCCACCAAGTCGGTGGATTTAAATAAATTGATGTCATGATCGATTCAACCTGTTCTGGAAACTTTAACTTTATTTCTGGTTAACGATGATGTAAACATGTGTTTAGTTTTCTTTTTTTAAGATGTTCTCCTAATTATTCAAATATAAGGATAACAAATGGTCTTCTGACTTTTTTCCTCTCTCTCCATTTCTTTCATTCAATTTTCTTTTTCTTTTCATTCATTTCTTCTCCTCATCCAAAACAGAGCATAAAGAACTTTTGGGCATAGTTGTTATGAATTGTACAAGGGTTCTTGAATCTTTAACAAGTAACGTTTCGTTTCCAATTTTTTTTAAATATAAAATAAGTCTCGTTTGAAGGAGTCTCTCAGTTCCCTTCATCAATGACCAGATAAAGTTTCGTCCATATTTTTTTGGAGAAAAAACTCCTAGTATTTAAAATTTGGGAAAAAAACATTTTATGCAGAGATCTTTTGTTAGGTCTCACCCATTTGTTAATGTGATTGAAAATTCACCTTGTGTTACAGACTACTAGGTAGGTTTTGGTCTTTGACTTGAAACTCTCAAATACATGTATACATACATATATAGGATGGCCTATTGTTGTGTCGTAATGTGGTACTTTTAGAGTCGTAGGATATGTTTTGGGAAAATGACCCACAGGTCCCAAGGAGTAGACTTTATTCATTTAAAGTCCCACAAAATATCAAAATTATTAGCAGGTCCCAAAAGATCTTAGAATATTATATTCTAATTATAAAATGATATCACTACTCCTCAGATTCCCAATTCACGTTTTCTCTGCCATTACGAGTGACAACCTCAACAGTGACTATTAACAACCCAATAAGCTATTGACAACCTAAGCAGTATCCGCTGACAACTTACTTTATAGGATCACATAACCTCCATATAAGAGTAAATTATAACCAAATAGTATAATACAATAATTTTAACACCAAAATAAGAAACTTTTCAAAGGCATTAAGTATTTTAACTAAACCCAATAGGATTATATTAGAATTTTAATATGGAGATCTATTGACAACCTCAACAGTGAGTATTAACAACCCATGGAGAGCTGTTGACAACCTAGACAATGTCTGTTGACAATTGACTTTATAAAATAATATAACCTCTACATAAGATCAAATTATAACTAAATAGCATAACATGACAACTTTAACACTGAAACTAAATAATGTTAGATTTTAGTGTTAAAGTTGTCATGTTATGCTATTTAGTTATAATTTGATCTTATGTAGAGGTATATTATCCTATAAATTTAGTTGTCAACAGACACTGCTTAGGTTGTTAACAACTCTTCTAAGATTGTTAATACTCATTGTTAATGTTGTCAATAGATCTCCACATTAAAATTTTGCTATAATCCTATTGAGTTTAGTTAAAGTACTTAATGCTTTCGAAAAGCTTTCCATTTTGGTGTTAAAATTGTTGTATTATACTATTTGGTTATAATTTACTCTTATGTGGATGTTATGTGATCCTATAAAGTAAATTGTTAGTGGATACTACTTAGGTTATCAATAGCTTCTCATTGGGTTGTTAATAATCACTGTTGAGGTTGTCAATCATAATGGCAGAGAAAACATGAATTGGGAATTTGAGAGGTAGTGATATCATTTTAAAATTAGAATATAATATTCTAAGGTTCCTTAAGACCTACTAGTAATTTTGACATTTTGTGAGGCCTTAGATAAACAAAGTTTAATCTTTGGGACCTATGCCTCATTTTCTCATATGTTTTTGCGTGTGGGTTAATTATTTAGTAAGGTTGTGTGTGTGTCTCTCCCTATATATCACTATGTTGAAAATCGAACCCACCAGATTGACAGCAGACTGTACAAGCTCACATGATAGATTCGGCTTATTTTGGAAATTAAACTATATATAGGTTATTTATCAAGATTGTGTGTCTCTATATATATAGGTGGCATCCTACTGACTCTGAATCTATCTCTTTTTTCGAAGATCGACCTTATTCTTTTTAAAAGTTTCCGTAATTATTGTTTTCCTTAAATTTTTGGTAACGAGTGTATATTAATTTTCGTTTAATTTTTCATTGTGGATTTGCTGTAAAAGGGTAGTCAGAATATTTTGAATGCTCCATTTAATTGGGATAGTTGATAAATGGCTTTGTCATATATATTTTTATCCTCATAATTTAGTCCTTTTAATATCTATTTGAGGCTAGCGAATTGATATTAATAGAGAAATATTCCATTTTATTAGCCAAGTTTCAATAATGTGTGAATTTTAAGTGCTTATAAATTCTCAACTTTTAAAGTATAATTTTTTTTTAAAAAAAATAGTTTTTCACATGTGCTGCTTAATTTTTTTTTTTTTGTACAGGTTTCTTAGAGCTAATGAAGTCAAGAATTGATTTTAGAACCTTTTATTATTTACAGCTTTCTTGTGGTCTTTTTATGTAGTTTTCAATTAAGGTTAATTGTGTCTTTTTGTTTTTTTCCCAATTATTGCTTTTTTCTCCTGGCCGGGTCCGTCGCTTTGTATTTCTTTTTTTTTTTTTTCAATAATACAGAGAGATATTGTTCTTAGTTCCAATAAAAACATATTAAGAATTTCTTGTGTAAATAACATTAATTAGGAGGAAATAGTAGCATCTAGCTTTCAATATAAGAAATGCAAAGTCCCATCTGAATTGAAAGAAGCTCACACTCCAATAATATTACATACACAGTGTTTATTAATTGCCACAAAAAGAAAAGGGGAGGAAAACAATGATAGCTTCTCTCATAATATAAATCTTCCCTGACATAGAAGTAAGAAATAATCGACCAAAGGATATAACTCTGCTCACTAATTGTCATATGAAAGAAAAGTAAAAATGAAAAATGCACAGACAGCCTCATATAGAGAAAGCCTCCGAAATAATCCTGACATATACATTCAACATATTAATGCCATCCATTGACAATTTCATCTATTGTTAATGGATGGCCATACTATGTTGAATATATCTATATATATATATATATGCGCTGGTGAGTGCTTACTCATTATATATATATATATATATATATATATGGGAGAAAATATAGTGTTCAAGGGCTTGAAGACGAAGAAAGTGGGGGAGAGAAGGATAGGAGAGTAGGCGAAGGAGGAGGAACATGATGAGTTGGCTGATGGAACTTTGGTCGATAAGGGCTTGAACACGTAATGAGTAGGATGACTACTAGGAGTTGCTACACTTGAAAACGTGAGAGCCAGAAGCAAAGTTACGATGATGGTGAGGACCAACTTCCAGGAAGAAGCCATATATGTGTGTGTGCGCACGCGCCCCTGGATTTTATGGACTTGATAAGATATATATAGAGTGAAGAAGAAGCTGAACAAGTGGATGCTTAATTTTAATTTGATTTGAGTTTTGATGATGAGCTAAGGGATGGTTCTTTGTCTTATATGTATATATTGTTACAGAATAGTCTAGGCCCAGTCCATATTACCCAGTTTGTATATTTTGTCTGTATTGTATTGTGTGATGATTCCTTGTAATGGAATTCTGTATACGTGTCATTTTTGTATAGATTCTGTTACTACAATTCACAGTTGTATATTCTCTAGAACCATGTATTCTGTTATATAAATATATGAGACCCTGAGCACTACTATTCAGTGCTTCAGAGCTTATTCCTCAATCACTTTTTTCCTTCCTAATTTCTTGCTTGGTATCAGAGTGATGATGGCAGAATATGCCAAATCCGACTCAGCTTCCCCTGTCTTATCTATTGTCAAGACGTATGCGCTCTTTAGCTCCTCTAGCCAGATGGCAGCGGTCAAGTTGGACCGTACAAACTACCTGGTCTGGGAATCGATCATTCTTCCTCTAATCAAAGGTAATAGACTTGCT